CCCCAGAAGGCAAACTAAAAAAAAATTAAAAGTCAAGTCCTAAAATGAAACATCCTTTGATTTCAACAGATTTCATGTGAACACATGAACCTGAACAGCCTGACAGGGCACTCTGAAACCGCAAAGAAGCCCTGGTCAATTTGTCTTGACGAGAGGTTTAGCCTCATTCATCGAATCAGAAGCAAGCAATGCCGCCTCTATTCCCTTGGGTAAGTGGTCTCTTTAAAAGACAGCAAATTGTTTCATGACACCTAGCTTCAAAAAGCCCTATAAATGCAACACAGGCTGCAACAAGGTTGTATTTTAAAATACAGACTTTGTTCAGGTTTGTTTGTTAGGTGTTGATGTGCTTCTGTAAACTCTGTTTTTAGGGAAAAACGTTTCTCCATGAGGGTCTTTGTTTTCCTTTGCTTTTCTAATATCAGTATGAAAACAAATTGCTTAATGGTGAGTAGTGAGTGGTAGCTCACGTAGAGGAAGATGGAAATTAATGAGACAAACTGAGAAGCCTACAGCATCTTCCCTGAGCAGAAATGATTCCATAATTGTCAGGTACTTCAGCAGCGTTACTTATAAAACTTCATGAACTACCCCGGGACAAAATAGTACATTTCCATATGAGAGTGTGTTTGCTAAGCGCTTCGGGGTGACATGTGCCGAAGTGATAATAATAAAGGCAGTTGCGGCTTTATTTTAAAATGTTTGTAGTGTTTATGATGTTTACAGCACTTGAGATTGAAGTTTTCACTCTTCACAGAACAAGTGCTTTCACAGGTAGTAAAACCACAAATGCAGCCTGCTTCCCTGCTAATAAAACACTCCGCTTCCCCGGGAGGACAAGGGAGGTCAGTCCTCAGAGTTCGTCAGGCATTACCCATCAGCGCACCGGTGCATTAGGAGAATGATTGCTGGGGTCTGGAGCTCGTTTCACACAGATCACCACATAGCTGCAGCCTAATAAAACTCTCTTTGCTGTCCTGGGAGCCATCTTTAGGTTAGAAGTGTATCGAAGGGCTTCGTCTCCCTTGAAGCAGTGTTTATTCCTGTGATTTTGCTGCTGTGGGTTTACAAATGGTGGATAGCAAGGACCTGTGTCTAGGTGGCATTTCTCAGTGATTAGCCCATGACAGTTAACACCAGCAATTAACATAAAGTGGATGCAGAGTGCACTGCGGTCAAAGGGGTTGTTTTCTGTTAATTTGGTTGGGCTTATATTTGGATGGAGCTTATATTGAGCTGTAAAGACCAAAATCCTCAGAGGGTGAGGGGCTCTCAGGTTTTGTTCAGCTGCATTGCTCTGTGGCAGAACAACAATAACATGCCCCTTAGAGACAAATCACATACACGGAGAGCAAACTCCTCTCGACTACTGTAGCTTCTTATTTTCTGAATGTTCCTTGCAATCTATTTCAAATTATATCTGCCTGGTTTTAATGCAAAATATAGGTTTACATGATTTTTTTTTTTCCCCCTCAGTTTTTCACGTTCCTATGCAAGTTAGGAGAGATGCTGTGTTATCCCATGCTCAGGTCCAGACTGTATCTGCTTGACTATAATATTCACTTGTTGCCTCAGGCTCCTTCTAGTAGTCAGTAGGGAGAGGCAGGCACATTCAGGTGGAAAATCAGCTAAGCTAAATAACATTCTGGAGGTAGGCATAGCTTTCCTTTGATTATAGAGGAAACCTGGGATAACGTGGCTGCTGACTTTAGATGTCTTGGCAAAGTACTCAAAGTTCAGTGGAATTAATCTAGACCTTGCCCTTCAAGTTACATGATTATTAATATTAGACCTGAGCTCCTGCATTAATGTCCCTCTTCCCTTTTGTAATGGACCAAGCGTGGGTTGAGAATGGTATTTTTGTTGAATTGGCCAGTAGACGCAATACAGAGTTAATTTCATCCGTGCTAGGAAATGCAGATTTGGCACAAAGCTGACCAGCACAAAGATAACTTGCTAATGGTTTTGAACAAATCTAAGCTAGTGCATGTGTACCAGTGCTTTATATGTGGTGCTGTTTTGGGTACGGTACAGGGAGCCTGAATGCCAGATTTTGTGTACTGATGGAACAGTAGGGCTTAGCAGAGATTGAAATTGATGTTGGCTCTCCCATCAATCGTCAGATACACATGTGCAGTAACTACCCAACCATCACATGAAACAGCTAAAAAATAAAAGGGAAATATTTGAGGTTAAGGAGGAACAGTCTTCAATCCTCCAGTTTACTTCTGCAGCCTTTGGAGCTCGTTACTGCATAATTCTTCTCTCAGACTCACTTCCTTTAGCTTATGGCAGGCAGAAAAGTAATTTTGTTCTGCGTAAGACAAAAATCCCCTTTAAACATGTCTGTTATCTCTTACAGTTCATTAAGAGCAAAGGGGGAACAGCTGCTTCCAATGAAGAACATTCTCTGTGGAGAGGATGGATGGAGGGCAAATGTGAAAGTTCAGTGCGAGTGTTACTGGGAATCCTGAATTAAATCCATATATCATTAAAAATGGAACGTGCTGCTTAGGCTTTGCCGTCTTGAATGCTCTAGAAGAGGTTACTTGTGAATGGGAGCAAGCAGTGTCTGAAATGTCTGGGGATCTTTTTAATCAGTATTGGTTGCTTCCACTACTGGGAGGCAGCAATGTTTTTGCTTGGGGGACAGGATTTCCCAGTATGATACATAGTTGCAATCTGCATTAGTGAGCTCTAGTTAGTAGTGCTAAATCTGCTTAGATTTAGCAGAATAAGAATTAAGCTAAATCCGTTACAAACACCACAGGCAGGCACTCAAGCTGGGATAATAAAAATGAATAGGATTTCGGAAACTTACCAGTTGAGGTTTAAAGAATCTCGCTGCAATACTGTATAAAAGCCCTTTCAGGTGGATCTTAAAGTGGGGGGCTTTAGGATCCAGGCAGAGGATGCTTCTTTTTCCCCCGAGCTGCAGAGCTCAGTTATTTTCCTTTGAGAAAGAAGGGGAGGAGGGGGAACACAGAAAGGGAAAGCTGGACCTTAACATGCATGTTGTTACAGCTCTGTCCTGTGGTCCCTGTGGGAGCTGGAGTACCTGCAGTTAACGGGCTGGATCAGGTACAGGTGTCCGCTAGAGCTGTGCTGGAGGAGACAGAGCAGCTTTTGTGCCACCTGCATGCTTGCTGTGCTCCGGGAGGACGCAGGGGCCAGTGCGATGCTCGGTTCAGTGCAAGCTGCAGCCCAGTGTTTATTCCGAGCGTGAGGCTCTGTGTACCGTGACCCTCTGCGAACTGTGGGAGCAGGGGACAGCCAAGGGACACTGCTCCCTGCTGTGCTGCGCTCTGTCCTGGGTCAGCGTCCCTGCCCTGCTGCCGGCGGGGAGCAGTGCCAGCCAGCCCTTCCTTTCCACTCTCGTGCAGGCTAGGAGGGCCCGTCTGCAGGGTGCTGTTCCTGCTGCTTTGAAAGCCCACCTCTACCCCCACTGCAGGGGACTGCGTGCAACTGCCGACTCTGTAATAGAGCTCTCCTCCTTTACAGTAAAAACAAGTCGGTGTCTGTAGTATTTTTTATTTTGCTGTTGCTGGAGGCAGCAGCTGCTCTCTCTTGATGGTGGGGAAGGGCCTCTCTAGTCTTCCGTGACCTCCACACCTTTCTTCTAAAATCATGGTCCCTTTTTAAGTAACACAAAATCTTTCTTAGGAGACCTCATTTGTTTACCTTTTTACCTTATCCCTTAGCATGATCACATGCGAGACAGGAATTTTTCAAACCATTTCTTTTGGAGATGACCTTATGTTCTCTCCTAAATATTTGTTGGTTAGGTCTCTCTTCAGGCATAAATTTGAGCTGTTAGCTAGAGTGCCAGAAGATATATCAGCACCTTCTTCACCCTCATCTATATTTTTTTTCTGTTTTGCACCACTGTGAACCTCCCTTTGCAGTCCACATGAGTAGCAATCTGCTTGGAGGCAGCCTGAGGTTTGTCTAAATCAAAAGCATCTGGCCGTGTGGATTGTACCAGCTGGTACTGTTAGAAGTGTGTCACGGACGCATGTGTCCGTCGGTTGCTGGTAGGCTCATTGCTCTAATGCTGTAACTGTCCCCAACAATTCGCATGTTGTTCATTTTTAGCCAGCTTCTCATTCCTAAGGGATTACACTGGTCTTTGTTCATCAGTGTCCCTTCTGTAGAAAGCCACATGCAAACAAATATGTCGATTCACTTGGTTAACTTCTGAACTTTTTTCCTAATGTGTGTTGAATGTATTAAAAGAAAACTCCTCTCTTCTCCTCCTACACGGCTGTATGGGCTGGAATCCTGTGAAATAGAGTTGTTCTTAAAAGCACGCTGGGCTGGTTTTGCAAACCTTGTCTCCTCCTACTTTCCCAGGACGACTGAAGGGGAAGATGGTTGAGGAGAAGACCTTCTAATAGGGCGTCGTTACACTGTGCTTAGCCAGGATTACAGCAAGCGTCATACCGTATTGGTAACTTCCAAAACATATGCTCTTCCAAACATTGTTTCACGAGTTGGATTCATTTTAGTTTACCAGTATGTCATCTATGTAAAACATTTAGTGCTGGCTTAATGTCATACCATAGTGTAGCATGATTTCAAATGTATCCCGTTTTACATATTGATGCAAATAGCCAGAATTATTTCAGACTTACACCATTTCTAAGGACAATTGTGGTGTAGTGTAGCAGGTGCTCTGACAGTACATCTAAGAGTACTGCCCTGTAATGGTTTGTGTATGATAGATAAATGCCATGCTGTTAGTAGATAGTGGATATTCTCAATTAGAACAACAGGTTGAAGCACTGATTTAAAAATCTTGATTCTCTTTCCGGCACTACATGTGTGTATATCAAACAGCATAATTTCTATTAAGTCTAAGGTTTAGTGCATGATTTGAACCACGTTTGGAAGAAGCTTGGAGGAGTAGGAATGAAGAGGACATCCTGTTTTATGCAGTAGGGAAGGCTTGTGGGTCCAGACATATGATTGCAATGGTAAATACCAGAAGTTTTAGTGTTAGTGTACCCTGTGTGAACCAATGGGCTGTAGGAGGTGGGAATCTGGCACAGCCTTGTAAAATACGTCTTTACAAGAGACAGGGACTGAGACAACACTGCTGTACGATGGGGCTATTAATTTTTCTTCTTCTTTGGGGTCTTTGCCAAATTAGCAGCAGTCTTTCTCTTAAGTCTGTGTAACAACTCTGCTACTGTTGTGAAGGAGTTATTTTTAAATTTGCTTTTTTATCTGTGCCTTCCTGTGCACAGAGAAAGAGAGGCATTTGGTTCTTGTGTCTTGCCCCTGTTGGTGGCCATTGTGGCTCATCTTTGTAACACCAGATTATAGACACGATGGGAAATATGCCTGATTTTTACAGAACAGTATTGTATAAATTTTAAATGTATTTGCGCTTCTGCTTATGGCTTGGTTATTGGAAGTTTGTGCAGTTGGGACTAAGGAAGGTATTGTAATCTTGTCAAGAAAAAGCAAATTGAAAATAGAGGAATATATATCAATATAAAATATAAATAGAGGAATAATGACAGCACAAAGGTTCTAACGTTTAATTTACTTTCTTATAAATGATGTCAGCTTCTGAATTAAGAAAAAGCTCTTTGGGAATGTTATCAGCCTGGCTAAAATGGTTTAGTTCTTGCCTTGAAAGGAGCACTTCATTCTAATCCTATGCAGTATGTTGCATTGAGCTTGAATTTTCTGATGAGGTTAGTTCATGCAATCCACTCCAGTAGTTTCATTGTATAAATGAAAAATTTCATTAAAAGTGTCTTAAGGTTGATTATGAATGTGACATCGGGAAAAAACACGTTCCTTTAAATTTCCTTTATCTAACTACTTATTCCAAATCTTCAGCAGGTATTATTGTGGACCCTTAGCTTTATTTCTGGTTATCTCGTCAGAATTAGGGTTAGATTGTGCTCAGTGCTGTGGATATATCCCATGAAGCAGCACAACAGCTCCTCCACTTCACTTCAGAAAGAAATAGGTTGGATTTTACCTTCTTTTACTATGAATCCTCAGAACGTCCTACTCACTAATAGTTCTTTTTGCAGCATTAATAGTTCTTTTTTGTTTCGTAGGCTAGGCAACGATGACAACCAGTTTGAGATCAGCATGGCCAACAGCGGATGTGAGGTGCATCGCTTTGACCCCAGCATCAAGTCAGCACACATTCAGGAGGGTCGGCACCTCTGGTATCATCGCCTGTCCATTGATTGGAGGGATCCCAATCCAGCCATCGCTGCTCATAAACTTCACAGCAACACGAAGAAGCTGGGCACAATATTGAATGAATTTGGACATCAGAAGGTGAGGACTCAGGGGTCAGGTTTCTGACTGCAGGATTAGGTGTTGGGAAAGCTGCAGAACTTCCTCCTTGCTGTCTCAGGAGTTCGGACACTTTCCAAGGTTATATCCTGACAATGGGTCTTTCTTCAGCAATACTTGTAGCACATGTCTTGTAGGGGTGCCTTTCCTGTCTTGCTTTTTCTGTGTGCTGATAACAGCCACCTTGATTTTAAATCACTAGCCATATACTAAATACTTTCCTCCTCCTCCCTTCCTTTTCCCTTCAACTAGCTGGTGACATTGGGTGCTAGTATTTTTAGTCCTGTGGAAGTTCTGGTCTTTGCCTGAGTATGAGCACTAAACTACTCATATAGCCAAGTTTATAAAGAGAAAAAAAAATATTTGCAACACTAGTTAGAAGGGAAGAGGTAAGGGATGGGTTGTTTACATTTTCAAGGTCACTGGTCCTAATTACAGTCATCGACAACAAAAACATCCTGTTTTGAAATTGGCAAAGATCTGGGTTTTTTAACATTTCCCAGTTTGTTTTTAAGGAACTGTACAGACATCAGAAATCTTCAAGTCTCAAATAACTGTTGCCAGAACACATTTGAGGAAGTTCCTTAGGTTGCTTTTAAGAGAGTTTTTCCCTCAGAGGATATACAAGCATGAATTCAAATGCTAATGTACTTCATTGCCTGCAGCTAGTTCTGCTTGTCTTTGTTTTTTAAGAAATAGGCAGCCTGAGCTAAGGAGGAGCTTTTCTGTAAGATTTACAAAGCAAGCAGTGCAACGTTTGTTTGGTTTGTTACAAAATGCAAGATGTCCTTTTCAGTTAACTTCTTGCTTTTCTTCAGTATTTTCTTTTGGTTCAGCTCTACTGATTGGACCATTTTGAAGATAAGAGCAGAAAAAGGAAGCTTTTTCCTACTTCTTAGTCATGCTGTAACTATACTAGGCTGTGCATTAGTGAAACATCTGGGGAGAGAGAGAGGTGGCTTTCCTTTGACATGTGCCTTACATTGATTGTTTTGATTTTAGAAGAATTAGTCACAGAGCAAATGATTAATGACGTGATCCAGAAAAAGCATCTGAGTCTTCTGATATACCAGACCTGCTGAGAACAGTCAGTTCTCAGGTTATCATGGTAATACAGAGTGATTGTAAGACCTTCTGTGAATGAGAAGGGTGTAGCTATGGATTCTGAGTATATAACTTTCTGGGCGAAAGTTAACTGACATGAAAGCAGCCGGCTGGAGGGCAGCCAAGGAACATAACGCACATGTAACACATGCGGTCAGGCTTTTCTCTGGCTGTGTACACATGGCATAGGATTTGGTTAAGTGTGTTGGCGCATTATGAACAGTGTGTACAGCCTCTTGCTCTATTAGCATTGGGGTAGCTCCCCTGTGCAAAACTATGACATTAGTGAAGTCAGGAGTTGACTTTCTCCCAGTGAGGATAAAGCTGTTATAGACTCTGCAATCTTCTGTTACTTCCTATTTGTGAAATACCTGAATGGGCTGACTCTCCTCACATTGCTCTGTTTAGTTTTTCTTTAATTTGAAAGGCAGCCTGAGAAGTTGTATGTTGCATAAAGACACCGATAAGCTCCAATTTATGAATAGAACATCAAACTAAATACTGTGACATTCAGGTTTTTATTCTTCTGGTGAATGTGAGTGGAATGTTCCCTTGACTGAATAAATAAGTTAATTCAAAACAGTTTCACAGAATTATTTTCCAAAGCACTTTTTTCAATTAGGAAGTTAAAACGCTCTTCGTCCCATTCTTTAAAATGGGACTTTAAAAATCCTTCCGCCTACCCTCAAAGTCATTCCTTTCCCACTTCAAGGCAGGAATTCCAGGCAGCTGCATTCAAAGTTAATGCCTCGTTTTCTCCTTGCTTTTATTCTTTAAGATTTGGGACTTGATCCAAGACCTTCCAAGTGATTGAGACTATTTCCACTGACGTCAGAGACTTTGGGTCGGGCTGATGAAGAGAGGACAGATGAGGTCTCCTGGAGTTCTTGCCGTTGTAGCCCTGAAAAGAAAACATGCAATTTGGGGGTTTTGTGTGCAAGGGAATCAAAGAACTTGGACGGGCTTGTTTACACTCTGGCTTGGATGAGAGCACACCTGCTATTCTGCAGTCAGTAGTGGGACCTCATCCACAGAAAGGGAAACCCATCCTGATATTATGGCAAGAAATACAAACAGGTTTTTGGTGTTAGAGTGGATTTGAGGAAAGATGAAAAGAACTTGATCTTTTTAACTGGCTATGTGGCGTAACAGTCCTCAGTTCTCTGGGGAGTGTAAATAGCCTGGAGGTAGAGGACTTATCTAGCACTATATTAGGATAAGACTGACAAAGGAAACATGTAGTCAGAGTATTCTGGGGAACTGTTAGAGTGTGAAATCTTTTAAGCCCTGGAATAATCTCCAAAGAATGTCATGAGAGTCCTATTTCCTGGTACACAAATCTAAACTGAAAATTTACTGGTGTATCTTCTGAGAAGAGCAGTATTTTATTGTCCATAGGAAAGGATAAAGATGTAAAAATTGATCTTGCTCATCTTCCTCCCCGCCCCCCAATTTTTTTGCTGAACATGCACACTCTGTGCATGTAGTAGCGCTCAGCAGTAGCACACTGCTGATAAACAGTGGAAAAAAGGGAGAAAGCCACTGAATGCACAAGATTTTCTTTCTTGTTGCAGTGGAGTTCAATTTTGTGAAAGCTTTCACTTTCATATTCTCTAACTACCTACTGAGATGAGGATGCTACAGTGCTGGTGTTCCCCATGGATTAGTGATAGCTGGATGGGGAACTTCCTTCATACAGAGTCACTGGATAAATTCAAGTCAGAAGGGATCTTGAGAGGCTTGTAGTTCAATCCCCTGCTCAAAGGAGGCCAGCTGTGAAGTCAGACCAGGTTGTTCAAGGCTTTATCCACTCTGGTCTTAAAAACCACTGAGTTTTTTCCAAAGCGGAGACTGCACAACTTCTCTGGGCCAGCTGTTGCCCTGCTTGACTGTCCTCATCATGAAAAAGTTTCTCCTTATATCCAGTCTGAAAGCCCCCAATTTCAATTTATGCCTGTTGTCTCTTGTCGTACTTCTATGCACTGCTGAAGAGCCTGTCTCCGCTGGCTCTACAGGCTGATGTTAGCCCCCCCACAAAGCCATCTCCTGCCTAGGTTGAACAAATCCCATTCCCTCAGCCTCTCCTTGCAGGGCAAGTGTTCCAGTCCCCAATGACCTTGGTGTCTCCCAGCTGACACACAACTATGTGTGGTGCTCAGTTGCCAACAAGCCCAGATTTTAGTATCCAAAAAAACTATAAGGAGAAGACCATATTGAAATGCGAGCTCCCTCCTACTACTCCAACATTATCCCCTCTACAAAAAGTCCTAACCCTTAACCAGAAATTCAAACCAGGCTACTACATGTATTCTGTATTCCAAAGGTTATGCTATAAAGCAAAATTAAAACCTTTGACAGAAAGGCCCTGAGCAGCAGAAGCAAGCAAGAGTTCATTCTGTCCTGAATGGGCATGCATGAGTAAATCATGCATGTTCACACATGCAAACTCTTATTTCAGTAATAGTTTTCCTCTTTCTGGAGCTCTGTAGGACAAATCTCATGTGATGCCATCAGTAAGCGCTATGAATTTGCATTCCCTGGCAGTATAGCTCAGCAGTAGATGAGATGGTTTCTTGGAAAACAAATTAAGCTGGAAAGGACAATCTGAGAATGCAAAGTAAAACCTTCATTTAATCAGGAAGTGCTCTTAGGTGTAACTTTCAAGGGACAGCACAGTTGCGTTCAACTCCTGCCATTCATCTTGAACAAATTGTGTAAGAGCCCAAACTGTGTCATTGTTTATTATGAAAAGAAACGCAAAGCAATCTTGTAAGTCTTGATTTTGATTTGAAGGCTTTAATTTACACTGCCTCTTCATGAAGATTTTTTTCTATGACAACCTGGCTAACAGGGGTCTGCTTCATTTTATTGAACAGGCTTAGATTCAGGGTTTCAAAAGGAAAAACCTCCTCCCTTTCACCTTTTATTTAATACTCGACACAACTTCAAAACACTACACCCTGAAGCCATTTTGATTAATAACCTCATCTCCTCCTAGGCAAGTAATTTATCACTTGCTCCTCTCTTAAAGCAGATACTATAGAATCTATTTCGTGCTGCACTTTCAGTTTTGGGAAGACTGGTATGAAAGAGCAAAGATTAAAGAAAAGCAATTTACCATTTTGGTTTAAAATTGGCTCTGTTGGCAGTACACAAATAAATATTAAAGCACTGGGAAAACTGTATAACAACTTAGTTGTGTATGGAGATTTGATTAACAAAACAAAAAATTAACTCTTCAGGTTGGGAAAAGTCCGTGTTCAAGTTTTGGAGCAACCAAGTCCATGCAACTACTCTTTACTACACACACGTCAGGACTGCAGGGGCCAGAATAGTCTTTTGAATTCTTGACCCTGCCTAAACAAAATCATTTAACTTTGATTATCCCTTGCAAGGGTAGATTTAGGTATTGCACTGGGAGCCTAGGGGTTAGTTAGTGTGAGTTATGTTCACTAAGGGGCTGCCATGCCCAAGTTCGATGTGTGGATGCCACCAGTGTTTATAAACTCAGCTCAGCTGCCATATTAACGCACAGAAGGTCCTCAGTACAGGCTGATGAGCGCCTGCAGACTGGTCTATGTCCTGATGCGGAAGCCTGAACTCGGGATGAGAAGCCAGGAGCTCAGAAGCCCGGGAGCTCTTGCAGGGAGGTGAGTCCTTGTCACTGTTGCTGCTGCAGCCGGGGAACAGCCCCCTTCACCTTGCTGGAGCAGGAGGCACAAGTTCAGATCTGCACTCTGCTACGTTTGGCTTAGCGTCAGAAACACCAAATGAGACCAGACCTCTTGAATCGCTGGATCATACAAATTTTTAAGTAAATGTTTGGAGTTCTGTCTTGAAAGGGCTTAATTTTTTCTTTGCTTCATTATGCTTATTTG